GGTGGAATTATTTAATAAAAGAGAATTTAATTTCTTTTTCTTCTTTAAAATTATCTTATACTATTCTATTAAATTTGCGACATATGCCTTTTAATAGTTTACCATGATATATAGATAATAAGACAAAATACTTTGATATAACAATACATATTATAAATATATCTCATTATTTTTTAATAATATTTTTTTTATTTGTCAAGAGTTTACGCAAAAATTACGTGCAATTCAATGGCCATTAGGCTACTGTTTGACAATCATTATTTGGAAAAAAAATATTTTGAATAATGATTTTTTATGAGAATCTATGATTAAAAAGTAGAAAAAAATCGAGTTTACATAAATAATGTTTTATTGTGTGAATGTATAGTTAAAAATATACATGTAGAAAAAAAAATTTCAAATAATGATTGTCAAACATGGGCTTAGTGCATAATCCAATGGTATGATGTGTCGTGCTAGATTTGAGGTTATATATATATAAAGATTTACCAACTTAAATTTATCCAAAGTTTGTTAGATTTGCATGCTTACTACATTTCGTTCGCTGATAATATGTTATAGAAATTAATCTATAGATAGTTATCTATTTAATTAAATGTGGAGTAAAATATAATCCCTACTTATCTTAAAAAAGAGAATGTGAAGTTTACTGTTCATTTTTGTGACATAAGTTTTCACATGAAACTGGTTTGGTAACAATAAATTAATCTATCCAATCGCACTGTAGCATTTTCTTCACACATCATTTCACCATTTTTACACGTCGTTCCACTGCAATGTCACCTCCATTACAATATTTCTCCATTTTCACACACAATTTCACTTGATGAAAGCCAATACTATATTATGCCCTTGTTTGAGCATTATTCTTTGAGGAAAATGCATTTTTTTACAGTGCTTTGATATCATTTCAACCACATCAATAAAATAATATTACATGCAAATCTAAAACTTTTCCTTATTTTTTAACCACACATTTCTCATCAATATACTATTCAAAAATTCATTTTTTCCCCAAAAGTGGGGCTCAAACAAGGGCTATTTAATAAATAAAGATAGAGAAATGAAACTAAATATAAATATCCCTCTTACTATAAAAGAGGGAATCCGTTGGTTACTATTCACTTAAGACGTATTTTATTTTTTGATTTTGTCCTCAAAGAAAACAAAAAAATATTGACGCGTTGGTAGTAATTTCAATGAAATTTGTGTGTTACTGACGCCATTGGTAGTCAATTCAACTAAATTTGTGTGTTACTGACGCCATTTCAACTAAATTTTATTATTATTATATAGAAAATATCTTCATTGTGGTCAAATTTGCAAAGATTGGTCAACAATGTATATATAAAGGGGATAAATATTTTTTGACATGATTTAGAAAATTTCCTAATAAATTTTTAAATTGTTTTTAGTATAAAAAGAGACATGATTTAAGAAATAAAAGTTTTTGATAACAAGCTAAATTTAAAAATTCATCAATGATTGTACAATAGTTGAATATATAAATGTTCTATATTTTCTCAAAACTCATTTTGAGAACTATATCATAGACACATCGAACGATTTAAATGAATATCGAAAATAATTAAACGCATATCAAACGTATGTATTCAAAAATGCGTATAACTCGTCTTTTTTAATTAAAAATTAATTATTTTCTTAGTGCTTATTATTTTTGCGCAATAATTTTTTAATAAATTTAGAACTATAGAAAGTATGTTTTCATAAAAGATGCCATAAAAGGAAGATGCAGATAATAACTATAATTGGGGATTTGGAAGGGAAAACAGCGAATTTTGAAGTAAAAAACGATGCCCACCCAGCAAAGCTCAGTGGCCATGACGTGCATGTCGAAAAGAGCTTTCCGAATTGAGGTCATGGGCACGATTCTAATAATCGTAGCCAAAGTTATGGCCAAATTACCAAAAATACATTTCGAAACAGAAAAACAAAAAAACAAAAAAAAAAACTCTTCGCAGCGCAGAGTGTGGCAACACTCCGAGCTGCGCAAAGTGTGGCGACACTCCGCGCTGCACCGAGTGTTGCGACACACAACACTCTGCACTGCGCGGAGTCTTAATTTTTTTTTTCAAAACATATTTTTAGTAATTTGGCCATAATTTTGGCTACGGTTATCAGAATCGCACTCATGATCCCAATTCGGAAATCTCTTTTCGACATGCACGTCATGGCCACCAAGCTTCACTAGGTAGGCATCATTTTCGACGTCAAAATCCACTGTTTTCCCTTCCAAATCCCCAAATACTGTTAAAATAATCAAAATATTTTTCTTTTTTGCTTTGTTTTTCCCTCACGCGTGTCCCCATGACACTAATTTTAGAAGTGGACAATTTTAAATCAATACGACACTTGTCCATACATCAATAAATGAGACTCACATGTGAAAAAAAAAAAAANAAAAAAAAAAAAACAAAATGCGGGTGTGCTGTTGGCTTTCTTACCACATAAAATTGCTCCAGTTTTCAAATATATTTTCTTTCCACACATAGATAAAGTAACTGTAGTACGAAATCAATTCAGTATACATTCAAACAAAATTTTTAATCCGATAAATAAATTTGTATTGATCACAACATTAGTAACTTTTGAGTCCACCTCTCATTGTGTATACTTGTTCCAATTTCTTCAACCTTTGGTGAAAATCTACAACAAATCGAGGACATTAGAGTGTCACCTTCAAGTATGTTCTTCTCATACTTTTTCTTTTTGTATTATGTTTAATGTTTTGAAACTGTATTTGATTTATTCTTTCTCTTTTATCAGCTTTTCCTGTACACATATTTGTAATTTAGTTAACTATCCTACATGCTACTCTGTATATGGATATAATATTTTTTCATATATTCATCGTCATGGATTGATAAAAAATCATAAAATGTTCAAATATGGTTCACATGATGATTTCTTTTATCCATTTTCCGTTTGGTAGCTTATTATTCAATGTCACCAATAGAGTGCGTCGTATTTGTTGGTGTAAATTTTGTTGATACACACTTCGATTTAATTTTTTCCTCTTTACAGGATTGTGTTTTACTGAAGTTTGTACCTTTTAATTGTGTGGAAGCATGTATATATGTCAGCTAAAATTAATCATTTGTTCAGGAAAAAAATAATGGATCCCATAAGTTATGTTGGGAAAAAATAAATTCTAAGAACAACATCTCTCCCAAACAAATTCTAGCTTGCTTGCCTGATAAATAAACTTATAAGCAAGGTGAGACATTGGACATGTTTACCATACCAATAAGAATTCAACACCAAAAGCTAACTACTATTCGAAAGTAAGCGTGAATGTTTCAGCTCTCATGTCCTCCTGAAGAATAAATTATTCTTCTCTTCTAAAGAGCTTATTCCATAGACTTGGCTTTTATACTGTCGAGGCTTATTGTTTTGTGTTACTTCAGGAATAATTCAACTTTATACTCCATAATTCGTACTTTTGCGAGTTTAATTAAATGTTACTTTATGTACAGACCTAAATATCCACTGGTATAGTGAGAATTCCATCATTGTACAAAAAAATAAAGCTTAAGATATTTGTTTAAAGTTGAGATCATATAGCAATCAACAAAAATTAGAGCACGTTTAGCTATGCTTAAACATAAGTAAAAGTTACTTTTAAGTGATATTTTATTTTTAATCATGTTTGAACGAGCAAATTTTCTCTTATTTCAAAGTAAAAAAAGGTACCTTTAGTTGTAATATTTACCGTAATGTTATGTCAAGTTTCAATTAATAAAAAGAATCTCTCTACCGAAAGCACATATTGTATATGGGGTTTTTATATACAGTTTTATTGTTCGTTCTTATGTAATTCTGATAAAAAAATTTAGATGGGGTAGAGATGTGAGAAGAAGACTATTTTTTAAGACTTAAAATACCAAGTATAAAATGCTGAAAATAAAAGTGGAAAAGGGGTCGAACATAGAACTGTACATGC